AAAAACCAATTACAGTGCAATTAAAACGATTAGTAGCTATACCAACCACTTTTGGTACTGGTTCAGAAACAAGTGGTATTTGTATCTTTACTTATGAACCACTTAAAGCCAAAATTGGAATTATTAATAGGTTAATAAGTTATAATATTGCAGTAATATTATTGTTTTATAATTATTTACATATAATTCTATAATTTATGTATTTGTTATATTAAATATTATTATTATATTATTTAGAATGATTTGAGGATTATTTTCAGAGCTTTAAGACCCACTTTGGGTCTTATTGATCCAAACCATACATTGAGTTTACCAGAAAGAGTCTGTGCTTATTCTGGCTTTGATGTATTATGTAATGCTCTTGAATCTTTTACTGCATTACCATATACAGAAAGAACTTGTCCTTCCAATCCAATTCTTAGACCAGGTTACCAAGGGAGCAATCCTATTAGTGATGTATGGGCAAAATTTACTCTTCAAATAATGCACAAGTAAATAATTATCTTTATTTTGATGAAAAATAATATTATAGTAGTTAATAATGTAAACAAATAGAATTAAAAATATATAAATATAAATTTATATTTTTTATTTGGTTTATATTTATAATTTATCTTTGTTTTTCAATTTTCTTAAAAGATCAATTATTATAATAATAATAATATTTTTACTATTTTTTTATATATAGATATTTTAAAAGGGCAGTGTATAATCAAGATGATATTGAAGCTAGGAGTAACATGCATCTTGCAAGTACCATGGCAGGTGTTGGATTTAGTAATGCAGGAGTTCATCTTTGTCATGCACTTTCTTATCCTATTAGTGGACATGCAAAAAGTTTTCAACCAATAGTACATATAATAAAATACAAATATAATTTTTATGTTAAATATTAAAAATAATTTAAATATTGATTATTTATTACAGAATTATGGCAAAGATCGTACTATAGTGCCACATGGACTGTCAGTTGTTATAACTGCACCTGCTGTATTTTCCTTTACTGGAAATTCATGCCCAGAAAAACATTTAGTAGCTGCTGAATTACTTGGTGCTGATATTAGTCAAGCTAAAAAAAGTGATGCTGGCCAAATATTAGCAGACACTATAAGAAAATATATGCAAATAATGAAAATTGAAAATGGTTTGGCTGAATTAGGTTTCAAAAAAGAAGACATTCCTATTTTAGTGGAAGGTACATTGCAACAAGTGAGCATTATGGTTATTTTTCTCTCTTTATTATATATTTAGTTATCATAAATATTAAATGGAAATATTATGACTATTAATATTAAATAAGGTATTTAATTTTGATAAATGAAAGAAAATTTACAATCAATTTTAAATAGTGATTTATTGGTCACCATACATGAATGAATGACAATTAAGTAAATTTGTCATATACTTTTAATTTCATATGCTAACATATATGACGAATTAACAATTGTCATGTAATATAATATATATATATATATTTTTTTACATTTTAAATTTTTTGGTATGATCATACAATATTTTATACATACATTATGGTTACATATATATTTTTTTTCATTAATATTATAAATTAATTTTATATTATTTACAGCAACGTCTTACGAAATTAGCACCACGAAAACATTCAAGAGAGGATCTAGCTCAAATATTTGAAAACTCTTTTAGAATATATTAAGAAAAAAATAATTTCTAAAGCCATATTTTTTTTACGAATATTATATAAACTATTTTTTAATATCTAATTTTTTCTAAGAAATTTTATTATCTTTAATTTATTTTTTAAATAAACATTATATTTTTTGATAATTATTATATGAACGAAATAATCTGAAGTAATAAATTAAAAATTGTGAATAAAATATTAATATTAAGAATACGATTAAATCAAAAAAAAATATATTGATATTTAGTATTGATACAAACAAGCAATTTATAATAGCTATAAAGTCATTTTTTTATCAAAAAATCCTTAATAAAGAATTCATCATTACAAGAATGATGATAAGGATCTCTGAATTTAATGACTTATATTCTATGATGTAAATTTAGTAATAAATTCTTATTCTTATTAGATTATACATACATATTTTAATAATTTCAATTTCGCAAAATACAAAATTTAATTATTCATATATGTTCATTAAATCATTGCACATTTATCATTAATATTAAAATTTTCAAGAAATTAGAGATTAGCTACAGATTAATACTATCTGAAGCAGTCAAATTTTTTTTTATAAATCTCACTATAAATTTAATAAATCCTCGAAAAGTACTTGTATGTAAAATTTAGATAGAAATAATTCTCTTATACACATCATCGAAAAATGTAGAATTATTGGTAACATGAGTTGATCGATTTTATATATTTAATGATTAATATTATAAAATCAAAATCAATATAATAATTTATTAATATCATTTTATTGCTTAATAGTTGATTTTTTATTATTTTGAGAAATGTATTAAGCATAACATATCATTTTTCTTTTAAAATATAAAAATATGAATACATGCTTAGTGACTAAATTAATATGAAATCATTGAAATGTATAAATATCATTTATATATTATATTAAATGATAATGATAAATAATAAATTTTTCATTCATATACAAATGATATTTTAAATTTCTAATGATATCAATTAATATCTAAAAGTATGTATTATCAATTTTTTTATATTAAAGAAAAATGTTACTAATATTATTAGTTATATAACTAGTTTGATTTATAAACATTTTTCAAAATAATTCCTATTCAAACTCAATTCAAATGAAATAGATATTGTTTTTATTATGTCAAATATTTTTTTCTTTTCTATTCTCGGTTTCATTTTTCATATATGATGCAAAATTTGTCTTATAAAATTTATATAGTAAGTTTTTTTACATTTGATATACACATAATATATGAATAAAAGTTTTTTAGAAAATTCGTTTTTTTATGGTGTATATCGTTAAGATTTTTAATTCAAATATATTTTTTTTAGGCCAAAACTTTTAACTTCTGAAGTTAAAAAAGTTACTTCTGAAATTTATAATATTAAGAAAATAATTAATTTTTTTTATTACGCAATAAAATTAATCTCACTGATACAATTTAAAATTACATATAGCAATTATTTACCTTAAATATTTTATCAGAATGATGTTTGAATTTTACTTTTGCTGTAACTTTGCATAAATAATTTTCCATATCCGATTATGTTATTAAAATATTATCCATATTATTTCTTTGAATCGTTGAATATTACGTTCAAACTATAAAATATTAAATAATATTTTGTAATTATTATTGATTCTTATTTATATGAATATATGAATATATATATATATATAT